CACCCACCGCTAAGGGCACAGCCTGCAAGTTGACATAACATACTGGTGATGTCCACAGCAGCAACCGGAGAGCACGAAGACGTCTGCCTTGTGGCCCAATCACCAAGTCCAGGTACGTGCCCTCAGATCACCACCTCCCTCCTTCCTGCTGATACGTCCACTGCGAGCAGTAGCCTGGCCTGGACCGCGTTGAGCTCACTCTCTCCCTTAGCCGTAGCTCTCGAGCCCGTACTCACCATGAGCAAGAGGGGCGAATCTTCTTCCAAGCTACGGGGAGATGCACTCGGGTGGCTATTCCCCACCGACCAGGTACATGCGTCCGCCCTTCTCCGTTTCTTCGCTTCCTTCGTATGTAGACACATCCCACGTCCCCGTCCACTTAGCCTTTTTCCTTTCTCACCTTCTATCCAATGCACCTAGCTATGATCCCGTGCAGATTCACACAGTGCCCTTTCGGCCGTACCTACGAAGGAATAGCGGGAAGCTACTCCGACCGATCGGAAAGGCATCACACTGGTCAACAGGTAAATCGCCAGCCGCTAGCCCCTTCCCCCACTACAGCATGAGCAAAATCGAATTAATCTTCCGTTAGAAAACGAAAAGATACATTGCCATTTTCAGACCTTCTTCCTCTCCGCGCAACACCTTATGTCTATGCCGCTCGAACCCTCGACTTACCCTCAAATCTGGCTTTGTCATCGGCTTCGCCCTGCCATAAAACCTTCGAATAGCACTTTCTCCCACCTGGCCCCATCAAGGACCGGGTGAGCTTTTCACTCTCCCCGTCCTCCGCCTCGACTTCTCCACGCAACCCGTTTCGTGCTATCTCCTCTCTCTACTAACCCAATGCCAAAACTTACCTCTCCGTTGAAATCGCCCTACCCAAAAAAACTCGGTATAGCATTTTAAAGTGTGAAAATCGGTTATGAACAGGCCGAGTTATGTCAAGTTCTCTCCCCCTCCTTCACCTCCCTCCATAGCTCGGCGCAATGTTTTTCCCACTAACCTCTCAATCCACTAAACTAACACTAAAACTATCTTCGCCATCGCGCTCGCCTTACCCCAAAACCCCCGAAACATCTCTCCCCCCATCCGTTTTCGCTCGGAAACGCCCGAGCTAGACGTACTCTCCTGCTTACTTTCGTTCCCCCGCCATCGCTCTTCTCCTCGTTTTAGTCGCACGTATCCGGCGCAACTTCACACCTTTATTCATTCTTTTTTTTTTCTCTTTTTTTTTTTTGCCTTACTCCCCACCGCCCGTCACTCCGCTCCGCCTCCAGCTCACATGTGCTTGGCGCGTTTCCTCGCCTAGGTTCACTCTCTATCGTTTTGCCCGTTGCCCCTACTCGTGGTCTTTCCGCCCGTGGCCGCTGTCGTTTTGCCTTCTCCCCTGCGCTCCCAAGACTGCTAGCGCTACTCCAGGTAGCGCTCCGCCTAGTCCGACAGTGCTCGGCGTTCCCAGGGTGCGCTCAGCCGATCTGCTATCACGAAAGAGACTACGGGCAGGCCAGCTATCAGATGGTTCGGCGGCCTTTCGTCCCTATCACCCCCAGCCTTTCCTTCTTCCGCCTGGGCTCGGTAGGAGTCAAAACGCATCATTAACCCAGACACCAGCCCGGCACCGGTTCATATAGATAGCAGGACGGCGATCATGGAAGTCGAGATCCGCTAGGGAGTGTGTAATACCTCCGACGGCTCGTCGCTCCACCTTTTCCCCTTGATTCTAAGTGCTTCTCAGGCAACGACACGGTACCACACCCCAAAATAGGACGGGGCCGCCAATAGCCGTGGAAAAAAATAAAAAATAAAATAATGAAGTAAAATAAAACTAAAAAAAAAAACAAATAAAAATAAATAAAGCAAGACAAATATTCAGACAGGAACAGGGGAGCTGCTGGCACCTCGCTAGTGCCGCGGGTCGGGCCCATTATTATGTCCATTGGCAAAAGGCGAGGGGGATAGTCCCACAGGCTCATCAACCCCTCAAGCCTTTCTGTCGCACCCCTTCGCTCCTTAGTCGCATGATGTTGGCCTCGATCTCTGTGCCTGCTGCGTACCAATCTCGTGATCTAACCTATAGGGCTAAGCCCAAGCCTGGTACCAATAGGCCTTTTTTCACTTAATAAAGATGTATCTGTCGGCCCTCAGTCAATTCGGAGTATTCGGCTTCTACTCATCAAAGCCGATCATCTGGGTTTGAACGCGGTCCATATTTCAACAGTTCAACGGTGCACCCAGTGAGCTAGGCTCTTTGGTGCCTGCTACACCCATGGTACCGCGCCCCGGGCCAAAACAGGGCCGCGCATTAACAATAAAGGAAAAATAGATAGATAAATAAATAAAAATAAAAAATAAAAGACGTAAAATATCATAAATAAGGGCCCCTATGCACGGTGCGGGAACTGCTAAAGCCCCACCGGTCCTGTGGATCGGCCCCGCCGCTACGTCTGTCAACAAAAACCAGAGGGGAATAGCCCGTCGACCCTCAAGCCCTCGGTTTTCTCCGCACGCTCAGCTGCAGTTGTTGTGCCGACGCCCGCCGACCTCGACCCCAGAACCTCCGTAGCAATAGTCCGATGCCGTAACCTATAGGACTAAGCCCAAGCCTGGGGCTGAGTCCCGCAGAATACCATATAGGCAGTTCGGCGCGACGCTTTGGGCCAACAAAACAGCTGCGCGACTCCCATTTGCCCCCCCCGATTTGCTTATACTATGCCATAATTGCCCCGCGCGCCATCCTACAACACCCCGCTTGCCGCACGAAGCCGCGCCGTCGTTGCCAACGCCGTTGTCGGGGCCGCTGTCGCACGTGCGCTCGACTCGGTCAAATGTACCAATCAAAAGGAAACATCCTTAATTCCTGCTTAATCAAAAAATAAATAAAATAATAAAATAATATCACCAAGCAAAACGACCGAGGTCCGGGCCGACTTTACGATCAACAACAGAAAAGAATCACGCGCGCCTTAAGCCTGCACGCCCACGCACTCGCTAGTGTGGTCAATCACCCTGTTACGCAATTATAGACGCAGTCGTGCTTAGCGTGGTATACTTCAACTCTAGACGAAAACTATTTTCTGTCACTTGCAAAAACCAGGGCGGATACCCTTGTAAGGGTATTCGCGCCGACGGCTTACTGGACCATATTAAGCGACGTTCCCGTCGCTTTGCCAAATCAGAAAGCTATAAATCCATCCACACTCCAAATGCTGACGGAAAACGAGCCAATCCGATTAGCCGACAAACACGGGGTAGAGGCCTCCATCAAACTATGCCTCCACAACTATATGCTGCCAGGTTTCTAACCCAGACCTCTCACCGCCCAGAAATTAGGACACTAACAACATAAGTTCCAAGGACCTTCCCAATCGTCCTCTTTCTTGTCCTAGACAACCTTCGGCTTCTCGTTGGGTATCCCTAGTCCTGGCAAAAACTAGGGACGCGGGCCTTAATCGGGACCTTTGAAGGCACTCTCGCCTTCCTTCTCAAAAAGATCTCTCGCAATCAAATACACATAAGCATATATGCATACTTAATATCCGCTAAACTCTTTCTGTAGTCTAGTACAGAAAGGCTAGATCTCCACCTTGGCCCACCATAGACTGGCTGATTGGACCAGGACCACGGCCCGCCGCATTGTTATTTAACGGCAGTACCCTCGTTGGTTACGCAACGATAGGTTTTCTCTTGATAAACATTTAATCAGGATTCCCCAAAAATTCTCAACCATCAATATCCCGCGGAGTAATTTCACTGGGGTGGGCGCCCCCCTTAAACTCTTACCCCGCGGTCCCGCAAACAGGTTGCGCCGGCTAGCAGCCATCCAATGGGGTTACGCCCCAGAGGTACTAACTTCTTTTCTGTTAGCTTGACCTTTCTTCAATATGTCACAGAACTAGCACAGGTTGTTAGACGGGGGCGTCACAAAACAAAATCTCTGGCCCACTGCGTGATACGCAGGGGTCCGAAGGCATTTCCCAACCCTTTCATAATAGGCATGGCATCCTTCGCATGCTCACAAACCAAATCACCGCTAGGTTCACCAGGCCGTGACCCCTGACTTGATCAGAGCCAGCAGCCACCCATCCTGAGAGGTCTCTCGCCCTGCACTCACTGCGACTTTCTCAAACATTCCAACAAAAGGTGGCCCTTTCCGTCAGACTTTATCACCCATCAAACAACTCACCATGCCATAAATCAGTGTACTCACCTCTGAGGGTGAGTCTTCCAACCATAAACCATTCCCCTTTTCCAAAAAAAATCCAAAGGGGCTCTCATCATAAACAAAACACCCTCTTTTTCAAAGTCACGAGGGGTTTCGTTACAGCACAAAACATCACAAAACATCCTCCTTCTCCAGAATCCAAAGGGTTTATCATAAAATAAATATCACAGAGGGACCATCTTATGGGTCCTCATCACAACTTAAGCAATCAATAATCAACATGGTAAGCATTTTGAGCCTCCAGGGCTCATAAATCTTCAAAATCCTCACAACCTTTCACAGACGGGCTACTCTTCCTCCCCTTATACTCTGCCTTATCAGCTGCCCGTGGGCAGGTCGCACAAGTATACCGAGGAGTAGACAGTTTTGCTTACAATCATATTTACAGTTCCCATGACATATAATAGGTTTTTCGCACATTGTCCACACAAACTCATCATTCATCAGAGTACAACCACACATGTGAGAGAGACAAGTGATCGTCACATATAAAAATGGTCCCTGAAAGAAACCTCATCATGATATACACTCAGGGAAATAAAATGTCACACACAGAAAAAATATCTCGAAATTATAACTCACTCAGCTCAAGCCACACCAAACTCACACTGACAACTACCCCTAGAATACATGTCAGATCTGTCTCTCAAAAGCCAGGGCGTAGGCCACCTAAATATGTACATGCCTCATCTAAATTACCCTGATCCTCGAGATCCCAGCTCAGTAGGAACATTAGAGTTCAGATCTAGACCTGTAACAATCCTCATAAAAGCCTTCTAGGTTTAAAGGGGTATTACACAGAACCTAAACTGATGTCTCACAAGATACTTGCCCACTTATATAGAAAAACCGGCCCTACCTCTTCAACTCCTCCTGGTTTTGCCTATATAACTGAGCCCTAAGTCCATCTGCGGACTTCTCTACTATCCTACCCTGCCTATCACACATCTTACCCCCTGCGTCTGAGACCTTTCCTTCTGCCTTATCCTCAAGGAACTCGAGACAGTCCAAAGCCAGATGCACGCCCCTCTTGCAATAAAAGCATAACTGAGCAACCTTCCTCTTGAACTTCTTCTTCTTGGGCTGAGGAAGTGGCGATGAAGGAGCTCCCACCAAGGTACTGACAACCCCCTGTTGCTCTAATCGAGGAGTTACTGTACTAACGACCTCCTGCTGTTCTACCGCAGGAACCAGTCCTCCAAAGCCAGATCCAGTAGCCCAAGATCCCATTCTGCTCCTCAAATTCTCTGTCACTGGGACGTACTCAGGCGTGTCCAACCTCTGAGGTCTCCTCTCGAGTGTCTCCCCTGGCACTGTCATGGACTGCTCCTCAATCTCCTCTGGCCCATACTCGGGCATGCCCATCCTCTGGAGCCCCCTCTCGATGGCACCCTCTGCCTCAATCCCTATCTCTCTTTCAAGAGGCTCCTCTATCCTCCGCTGAGGTGAAAACAAACTCACCTCCTCCTGCATAGTATGCACCGCCTCAAGGAGCACGCTCATGGATCCCTCTACTGAGCCCTGAGCCGGCTCACTGCTAGATGGTGGCATCCTCTCCTCTAGTGCCAAATGTACGACTGGGCTTGCCGCCGCCACTGGCAGTGTCGCGAGCTCGGTAGGAGCTCTGAACTCGAATGCCTCTCTCTCCGCCCGTCTCTGTGCTCTCGCCTCCTCTGGCTCCAGGATAACCCTCCCCATAGGTGGCTCCTGGCGAGGCTCTGCCGCAGATTGCTATCCTGGCAATCCCTGTCCTGGCTGCCTCTGCTCTCCCTGCCGGCTGCTCTCTGGCCTGTCCACCTTTCCCTGGGTTTGCTGCCTCACGCTCTCGATGATAGCTGCCTGGCTGGCCACCAATACCTTGAGTTCCTGGATTTCCACCTCCATAGCCTCCAGGCGTATTCCATGGCTTGCTTCCTTCATCTTCCTCCCTGCCAGATCGCTCTCCAATAACAAGTGCCGGTCAAAAGTTGTCTTTGCCAGGAACTTGTTTTTGCGATCTAACCTCTCTTCCGCCTTCCTAGCCACCCCAAACCCGGCTCTGACTGGCGAGGGAAACTCCTCTCCTCTTCGCTCCCAGAAGTCTCTCCACATCTCAGGGATCTCCGGGGCCCTAGCTGGCACGCTGGGTGGCTGACCTGGGAGTGCTCCTGCTGCCTCCGATCTCTGCCTTTCCTGTTGCTGCTCCTGAATCTCCCGCGCTGCCTCCAACCTCTGCCTCTCTTGCCATATCTCATCTATCCGCCTGGTTCTTCTCGCCCTCTTTTCTTCCGCCGTCTCTCCAGCTGACGCCCTTTCCCTCGTGCGGAGGTCGACCCTCTTTGGGATCTCTGCTTCCATTTCCTTCTCGAGCTGGCATGGCTCCTGGTGCGGCTCTGCAGGTGCTGGCTCCCCCAGGTCTGGGTGCTCCAGGGCATAAGCTGCTAGATGCCTGTCAATCAGGGTCAAGGCTTCTTTCCTTACAGCTGCCCTCTCCCTCCTCCTTTCTGCCCTATCTTCTGGCGAAGGAGCCTTTTTTGATAAGGGTAATGGAGCCTCCTCTCTCTGCAATCTCTCCCCCGCTTGGCGAGTGCTCCCTGGCGCATCCCCGAGTCTCAAACCTACCGCTGGTGTGTGTGGAGGCGTGTCCTCTCCAACCTCTATCACTTCCTTCCCCGCACGTCTCCCCTCATCGCCTAGCCCTCTCTCTCGCTGAGTACCCTGGACCTCCTTCCGTAGCACCTCCTCCTGTAGCACCTCCTCTCGTGGCACCTCCTCTCGTGGCACCTCCTCACGTGGCACCTCCACTCGTGGCACCTCCTCACGTGGCACCTCCTCTGCCTGCTCTCCATGCTCCTCACCCGAGGCGACGCTCTCCACTGAGAGGTATCCAAATGCGTCTCCAATTCCTTCAAGGGCCCCTCAGATGTTGGCGGCCCCTCCTATGCGCGTGCTGGTGACCTCCTCAATCCACCCTCGGTAAACCGATGGAACTCCACTGGTCCCAACCCACACTCAGGGTACGCCCCTCGCTCCTCAGCGTCTGGCTCTGACTCTGGATCTGGCTCCTCCTCTCTCCTGGCTAGGGCCTTCCGTCTTCCTCGAGACGGTCTCGCCTCCCTGGGCTCAGGGTCCCTCAGCCTCTGACTCCTCTGACGCGTCTCAACTCTTGGCTGAGGGGGCTCTGGCCGTCGAAATGCCTCTCTCAGATGTGCCCTGCAGCTCTCCCAGTCCTGAGCCATGCTTCTGATTTGGCTAGCCAGTGGCCTTTCCGCCTTCCTGGTCCAGAGTGGTAGCGTCTGCATCCAATCATCTCTCGGTATGCCCTGCCCCTGCATGAACCACTCAAACGCGGGGATGAAGTCCGACGCATTTCCAATCTCCAGGCGGATCGGTCTGCCATCAGGCCCCATAGGCGAGGGTCGCAACTCCTCCATCCTCATCTCCACCTCCTGCCTCGTCGTCGCCTCCCTACGAATCCTGGCAATGGGCTCTCCTGGGATTCCCCACTTCTCTTCTCACTTCTCTAACGATTCCTACCGCAGACGACTCTCCTGGGATTCCCCACTTCTCTTCTCACGAAAAGGTGACCGTCTCGCACTAAATGGCGTTGCAGCATCCTCTGAGCTCTATTGCTTGCATCCCTTAGCCGCATTTCACATGACAAAAGAAGCCCCAGCTCTAGGTTGATCCCGTCGTACTCCTCTGCACGAAAAGCCTCCTTAATCTCCCCTTCCTCGAACTCGTCGTCCTGGCTCTCGGGCACTTCGTCCACATTCCCTGCCGGGTTCAACGAGCTTGACTGGCCAAGGCTTTCCTGCAATAACGTGTTAACGAGGAGATACATTCCTCCCATCAGGTCCTCATGCCATTCTACCTGGCCTGGTCCTTCCTCAATCGTCCTCATGTCCTCCAGTAGGTTATGCGAGCTGGCCAGCGCTAATTCCATCATCCACAGAACATCCTTACCACCCCAGGAATCCTCTTCTTCAAAGGGTTTGAGGACTAGCTTAGCCCTCCGTTCGTATGCATTTGGTGCTTGCCAGATAGGATAGCTTACATAGCTGGGCACTTGCGGCGACCACTTATTTATATGGAGACGAACATCTTCTTCCTGATCTAGAAAATCATCAACCGGGGCGTATTCTCCACCGCCTCCCCTTCCTGTTTATCCCAGTTGATCCGACTCAGCCCATCCGCCCAGTTTTGACTGCCAGGTATCCGTTCCAATTTGAAATTGAACATCCAGATGTACGTCAGCCATCTGGCAACCGTCGGATCCGATGGAACGTAATTCCTTAGAGAGTAGGTCAGGGCGGTCGGATCCACTCTCAAAATAAACCTCCTGCCAAAGATGTAGTTCCGGAAGAATCGCAGACAATGGAGGACGGCAAGGGTCTCCCTCTTGAACTGAGAGTAGTTCCTCTCCGTCGTACAGAGAGTTTGACTCTCAAATCGCAAGGATCTTTCCTTTCCTTCCATGTCTTCCTGAATTAGAACTCCCCCTAAAGCAGTCGGCATCCGTTTCGACAATGAAGGGTTGCGTCTCTGTGGCGTCATAATCTGGCGCTCCTAACACCAACCCTCCTTCTCGAAATTCTTCCTTCATTCTGGCTACCACCTCTTCTTGTTCTTCACCCCAAACCCATTCCTGGTCCTGACGAACTAACTTCCTCAGATGTTCAGTCTTAGCGGCAAAATTCTTGGCGAAGGCCCTCCAAAATCCACACGTACCAAGGAAGCTTCTAACATCAGTTACTGAGTGGAACGGAACTGGCCACTCAGTAATCTTGTCCGTCTTCTTCACATCCAGCCTCCGACCTTTCTCGCTGCAGACGAACCCCAAAATAGTCGCTTCCCTCATGCAATGTCTGGATTTGGCCCCGCTCACCGTGAGGTTATGCTCCTCGAGCAGGCTCAGGACTTTTTCGAGGTCCTGGATATGCTCCCAAACAAAGCGCCTTACCCCTGGCGAGACTTCATCGCTCTCCTTTACTGCTGGCCCCGTCACCGCCAAATCGTCGATGTATGGCTGTGTAATATGGGGGTTGATTCACTGCATAACCCGAATCATGGCCCGTTGGACCATTGCTACCGCATTGGTCCACCCTTGAGGGGTCACGTTCATATGGATTAATCCTCGCGGCGTATGCATAGCCGTCACCGGCCTATCCGGCGGGTAGACCGAAAACTGATCGTATCCTGAGTAAAGGTCTATTAGCGAAATTATAGGCCTTCCAGCACAGGATTCCGACAAAGCATCCGCATTTGGCAGTCCTCCAGCATCTCGCACGGTCACCGCATTTAACCTCTGCAGATCTTGCACCCATCGCAGCGTCCCGTTAGGCTTAATGAAGTAGAACCACGGGGACGCATACGGTCCACTAGAATAGTCGGCGACGTGTGTACTTATCTTGTCGTCGAGGTACTCCACCACCTTCTTTTTCTCGTCAAGGTTAGGATATCGCGCCTCTCTCATGTTCCAAGGCTTGTGTGGCACGGTGTGGATGCGGATCATAGGTATCTTGTCCACATCCAGTCTGCCACGCTCCTCGTCGCTAAACGCATAGGCGCGATGCCTCCTCTTCATTAATTCCTCCATCAATGTTCGCTCTTGAGGCTGTAGGAAGTTGGGTTCCCCTATAATCAACTCCCCCTCGTTCCCTTCGTTGATACGACATGGCCCTGCTAGAGCACTCTCCCTCATTCGCCGTATCAACCCTCGTTCCCTCTCGTAATATGCTTCCTCGTCCTCTTAACGAGGACGGAAACCGGGCGACACTTTTTGTCTACCGTCTTGTACCGCCTTTGGGAACCCTGTTTGAGCCGTCCCCTAAAAAAGGCCGACTTACAGATTGTGTTTGAGCTGATGCGGGGTGCCTTCCGCTGCCTGGGAGCCGATATACCAACTCCAACCTTCCTGCCTCGGGGCATTCCAGAACTTGCTCCCTCAAGGCCTGGATGGCATCCGGATCTGCCATCTCATGCGCGGCCACCAGGTCCATGGCCTTTCCAACATCTGACAAGCTGAGGGAAAATGCTTCCACCCTCTGTCCTGCTTCGGGCTCTGCCTGGAGCCTTCGGCGCTCCCCTTCCGACTCCTTGATCGTGAATGATCCTGGATTGGGCCAGTTCCTTATACTCCTTGGCCCGGTGTTCCTGCAGGTAATTATTTCGTAATTCCCGCAGGCAGGATCGCATAAGAGGAGGATTAACGTCCCGTCATGCTTATTGAATATCACGGTCTCCGTCCTTCTCAGGAACGACCTCCCTAGGAGGATTCCGTGATCCACGTCCGACATGATGAAGAAACAAGCCCTGACCTTCACCTTTCCAACCTCCATGAGTACATTCGAGGCTGTCCCATAAAATACGGCCTTGCAACTGGCTCCGTGCAGAATACCACAGTCAGAACGGTCTATATCCAACCCGAATCTGATCGCGTCCGCCTCCCGGATGATGTTCATTTCCGCCCCGGTGTCCACCATTGCTGCACACTTGGAGCCTTTTACCACTAAATCCACTGTGCCGCAGGCCACTCACTTCCAATCCATCTTCGTGCCTGACTCCGCCCATTCTGCCTCCTTGGGCAGAATCGTGCCCAGATGGACATTGGGCACCAAGCGCCGCGACAATCTCCCCTTCAGTTCATCGCGGAGCCGCGGGGCTGACGCTAGGATTTCCTTCAGGGTCATGAGGTCATTATGCCCCTCCAACAGCCGGTCGATCACTTTCTCTACGTCAAATCCCTCTTCCAACCGAACCACGTATTTTTTCTTTTTGGTTGGTCCGTCACGTATGATCGGCTCGGCCTCTCCCCTGGCCCCCTTTTTCCTTGCCCGCTGCTCCGCTCTCTGATCCTCTTCCTGGCGCAGCCTCTCGTCTTCTTCCTCTTCATCATCGTCATCCTCCACTTCCACGGCCTCTTTCCTCTTTCCTGGTTCCGGCTCCCTCCTTGGAGGTTCTTGGTTGGCGCTGACTCTCGCTTGATTTCTCGTTCGTGCTGCCTGCGCCAGCCAGGCCTGCGGGGTGAGGGGTCTCCCCATCATTCCCGATTGTGGGCACGACCCCACTACATTTACTCCAGGTCGCCGAGGCGCTGACTCCAGGCTGGAGTCATAGAGGAACACCTTGAGGATGTTAGATCTCCATCTCGTCACTTCCTCGCAGAGGCCCACCAATTTCTGTTGGTACCTCCCCATCTTATCCAGCAGGGCCTCCATCTTCCCACATAAGACGGACGGAGGCTCCATCCTTTCCTCCTTCTTCTCGTCATCTAGCTCAATGATTACGGGCTCTTCCTTCTTACTCCCTCCTTGTAGTCCTTGAGCCACTTCCTCATTGCTCCCTACTTCCTCCACCCCAATCGGTGGTTCCTCCTTTTCCTGCCATAGCCTGAACATGGCAGGGGGTGGCGGCCCAAACGCCGCTCTTCGTTGGGCTTCAGCCCTCACTCCTCCAAGCCTTCTGTCAATGGCTTCCCCAAACTGATCGTAGATGTTCCCATCCATAGTGGAGGAAATCAGCCCGCTCCTCTCGTCTTCCCGTCTTACATTACAGAACCTTATAGTGTGACCTTGCTGGTCACAATGTTGATAGATGGCCGTCCTCCAGTCAAAACGGGGTCTTCCATACCCCTGACTCCCCAGATCCACCTGGCCTTGATACCCCTGGCCTTGGTACCCCTGGCCTTGATTCCCTTGGCCTTGGTACCCCTGGCCTTGGAACCCCTGGCCCTGGTACCCCTGGCCTTGATTCCCTTGGCCTTGGTACCCCTGGCCTTGATTCCCTTGGCCTTGGTACCGCTGGCCTTGACCATTCCGTTGCCTTCCTCTTCCGCCGCCATTCGTGCATCGCCCCCTTCCTCCACCCCTCCCTCCGTTGCCTTGATTGCCCTGCCCCTGGTTCCCACCTCCTGCCACGCTTCCCTGTGAACTGGGAGCGGGTGACGGCGGCGGGGCCACAGGCTGGGCCTGGGCTGCGGGGTGGATGGGTGGCGGCATACTTGTTTGCGGTCCGGCTACTGGCGGCGGGCTTCCCCATGGCACAATTGCATTGATCACCGGCCAGGGCCATTGTCTGTAGGACGGCGCCCCTCCTTGCGAGGGGCCCGTACTAGATGACGGAACCGCTACATTTGAAGGGGTTGCTGTTAAAGCTTGGGGCTCCTGCGCTTTTCATGATCCCTGACCGCCCTGCGCCAAGTTACGCACTTTGCGCTGGGCCTTCGTCAGGCGCTGCGGCACCGGCTCTTCCTCTTCCCAGAGTTCTTCCTCAACGACTTTTTTTATCACCGGCTCCTTTCCTTTCATTTTGACAGCCGTCACTACCCTCCTTTGCACCACCGGCTTTGTCGTATGCCCCAGCTGTGCCAATACGTCTGTAACAATCCTTGTTACCCCCGGGGTCCCAGAAGCGGTCGCATCCCTTTCCTTTCTCTTCTGCCTTTGCAGGCGTACCTGACGCTGCTCCACCTGGTCCAGACACCCAACTTCCACCTCTCTGTCAATGGTGGCCCAGGTGAGCTTGGTGCTACCTCCTCCATGTCTCGTCAATTCGACAGCCTCCGACGCCGTGAGTAGCCCCAGGAAGATGGCGCACTGTGCTTCCTCCGAGATCCCATGGACCTTCCGCGCCCTTTTCTTAAATTCTTGGACAAAGGCCCCTATTGTCGTAAAATCCTCTTTGTTCATTGCCTCAAGGTCCGCGGTAGTCAACAACCCATCTCCCAGACGGTACTTCCTCCGCATCCCCTCCTTAAACCTCTCCCAGCTGCCTTGGGCTGGATCTATGACTTTCTTCACCTCTTGGTGGTAGCTGTGGATGACATACTGAAGGATGCATTGAAACTTTACAATGTCCGACCGCCCGACCAAAGCTTGTTCCACCCGCTCCAGCCATTCCGAGACTCTTTCCCCACAAAAATGGAAGGTATCGACCTTTGGGATATTGCTCGGATTCCTTTCATGCTGGTCGATGGCCGCGATGAGGTAATCGAGTGTCAGACCCTTCTTGGGTGCACCCGATGCGCCGCCAGTTTCAGGCATCTTGACAACCTCTTCTTTTCAAGCTTCCTGAAAGAGAAAAAACAAGCACATTTCCTTATTCAACATTATACCTTGACCGGTCTATTCCATCCATCCTACGTAACCCTCAGTACTTACTTTACCCAAATGTTAACACGATCGTCCCTCATACTTCCTCTACTTGGGTAGGTAAATTTACTCACCTATACTTAGTCAATCATATATTTCTTCATTACCCTCTCATCACTCCTTTATGCCTTTTCTTATTCACTTCTCATACCCGGATGTCGTTCCATCAGGGACAACGGTAGGCTTTCCGCAATCCCCGGCCACGGCGCCACCTGTCGGGCGCATCGGTCCTGCACCGCACCAGGGCAGCGCGGGACCCTCCCGGCCGCGTCACGCAGGAGTTGGTTTAAATCCTTCGTTGCAGATAATAAATATGGAGCTTCCTTAAGTCGCTCCGGCCGAGTGCGCCAGCCATACCTCTCGCGAGCCCCTACAACAGGATAGGGCCTACGCGAGGCACGACTTACCTACACCTTACGGGAGCTCTCACCTCCCTTCGGTGGGCGTATCCCCGTTGAGCTACCAGTCCACAGTACGAAAGCTAATCAGTTGCAATCGCAGAGGTGGACCAGCCGAGGGCGTTTCTCGTTCGCTGTAGCATAGGGGGTACGCGCGGTAATACGCCTCTGTCGGACCCGTACGCGGACCGACATCTTGGGGGGCTGAAAACCCAAGCGCGGCCCGTCGTCGGTCGACTAGGACGCATCCCACACACCACACGCACACCACTTTACGAACACAAAAACATAAAACATGCACACGCACACGTACGAAACGACACGACATAAACAACGCGACAACGCTCCTAGCCCCTCGGTAGCCGTCCCATAACTTTTCGACGCGAAATCGAATAGGCGTTGCGCGCGAGACTTAGGATAAAACCGCACGGACGCAGGGCCTACTCATATCGACTCGCAATGCAAACGTACGCAAGCAGTCGCAATGATGACGTACTATGTAGTGCCCATAATCAAGCGGTCCCTCGTGGATCCGAGTACCGCTTATGACATTCAAGTGTCAGACTCGAAGTGCCGTGAGGGCCTAACCCTTCACGACATTGCACGGCTGAAGGAGTAACTGTGCAGCCGCCGCGACATCTCCGGCTCTCGGCCTGAGTGTCTCGGTAGGGAAATTAAATAGGCTCTGCGCGAGGGAAAACCCCTCCCCTGCAGAGCCTAGGGTTTGGGGTGTCCTGGACAAGGACCTCGAATCCCGGCCCAGGACCAAACGTCCGACCAAGAAAAATCATCAAAAGCAAGAATAAAAATAGAACGAGAGGCCTCCCCTTCGCCCCTCATCCTCAGCTTCTGAGTAGGATTTTAGTATGGGGACTCTTCAACCCTATGCAAACATTCATCCCAAGTACCCATGTATACATATATAAGGGTTAAGTATGTGACGATCACTTCTCACGTTCT